GAACTAGCGCTTCTAGATTAGTTATAATAGCTCTAGCTATTCTTTTCTAATAGTCTAGTTAGTAGTTTCTAAGCTATCTAATTATAAAGTTAACTTACATAGTTAAGTTAGTTAAAGTAGAGTTACTTTTAAAGAAGCGTTTATAAGCTCTAGCCTAGCTATTAAGTTATACTTTATTTTTACTTTTAAAACGTATTAAAAAGTTAGATTTTAGAAGTAGAATTTTAAAAGGTCTAGTCTAGTATAAAGTACTCTTAGTAGACGCAGCTAAGGCTAGTATTAGTATAAGTAGTAATAGAGTCTAAAGGTTACTACTAGTAAGTATAGCTTTAAGAGCTTTACGTTAAATATATAAAGTAGTAATCTTTATATACTATTTAGCTTCTAATAAAAGCTATTTTTTTTATTTAAGTTCTTACTAAAGAGTTAATAGCGTTAGTTTATTAATAAGTATTCTCTTCTTAACTAGTAGTATTTTTATAGTAAGTATTAAGGCTTATAATTTCTTTTTAGTAGTAGTTAGAGCTAATAAAGTATTAGCTAGCTTAAGCTAGGCCTAAAAAGCTACGTTTTCTACTACGCTACGTAATTATAATAAAACTATATTTATAGTATTACTAATAGTTATAGATAGAAGTTTATATTATAAAAGTAGAATAGATTAATATAAAATTATATAAACGTAAATCTTTACTAAGTAATCTAAGTAGAGCTATTACTTATAAGAGGTTTTTCTAGGTTTCTACGCTAGTAGAGCCTATACTTACGTAAGCTAGCGTAGTCTAGAGAAGTCTAGAAGAATCTAGAGTAGTCTATAACTAAGTAGTTATAATATAAATATATTTAAAAAGAAGCTATATTTTTATTTTATAGAAATAGGTATAGATTATAAAAAAATATATTTATTTTTATATATTAATAAAGGTCTCTAGCTAAGTAAAAGCTCTAATTTTATAATATTTATTACTAAGTAGCGTTTTACTTATAAAATACTAAATTTTTTAAATTTAGTATATATACTATAGTATATATAGACTTTAATATTAGAATTATAACTATACTAAGTTATTATAACTTTTTACTTCTTAATAAATATTAAATAGAAATTACTAAGATAAAAATAAGATAATCTATTAAGACAGTAATGTTAAGATAATTAAGATTATATTGTGAACTTGCCGGCAAGGCCGAACGCCCTTTTGGAAGCTTTGCATGCATGCCTCGGACAGGGAGTGTGGCATAACACGCCGAAGAGCAGGATGATACGCTTTTGTTGCAACCGCCTGTGCCACAGCCACAGATCGTGCAAGAAGCCTCGCTGGAGGTCAAGTTCGCAGTGGGGCGGTTGTCTATATGGCGAAGTAGAGGCGGCCAAAGCGGTGATAGGGTCTTTGTTAGATGGAATCGCAATTTACCCCACGGCGATTGCGGCGCATGATGAGAGGAACAGGCTAGCGGGCTGCTATCTTGGGCAAGGTGAAGCATGGGGCCAAACAAGGACGGATGTGGCGCCGGCCAATGGCAGGCAAGCCTCAACCCTCCGCCAGCCGCTGCCCTCGAACGCGACCGAGTATCACCTGTTGACGCTCCCTCGACACCACTCGTGGCCGTTTTGTGCTCCATCGACAAACGTAGACGCCTGCGCTGCGATTCACTCACTTGCTCGCGCCATAGCATCTTGTACTCCATTCGTGTTGTGTTCATCTTGCGACTGCCGCTGGATACCCCCTCGCGCCTGCCGCTCCCTGACGCCCGTACCCACTCGTTCACCACAACTATAGCCGTCGCATTCACCACGGCGCAAAGCCAGCAACAATAGCCCGAGCAACAACAATACCACTGTTGTTGCTATACATATACGTACGCGGCCATCGGACACGCCTCTTCCGCTGTCACCGCTGTTCAAGCCTTGCGCATCTCAAACACGCAACGCTCCACCCACGCGCACACGTCTCTTGTCATGCGCACGGCACTCTGGTAGCATTCCGAACACCCACCTTTTTGGAAAGCCCTCCGTCCCCGGCCACCCGCCGCAATCCTCCGCCTGCTTAACAAAACTACCGCCCCTGTCGCTCTTTCCCTCGCTCGCTAGTGGTGAGCAGCCGGCCTGTCACCACCATATCGCGAATACTCACTTTACAACCGAAATTGCCTCCTCCTTTTGGCTACAACAACCAACCCATGTCCTAGCGACCAAGTCACTCCTTAGACGAACAGCTGGACTGCAGGCCACCGTACCGCTGAGCGGATACTTACATACACACATACGTACATACCGACTAATACCGAATCGCCAACATGGGGTGCTGCGGAGACCGCGAAAAGGGAACTACGGTGACGGAGGAGCAGAAGTGGACTTACATTGTAAGCACTTGAGCGCGAATATGGAAGTGCATCGCTAACTGCCTTAGAACTTGTCCGACTTCAAGTCTACATCTTGCCTCGCGCCTTTCTCTTACGCCTGGCTGTGGATTCTCGTCGTCATCTCATGCGCCGTCTACGCCGCCGATGCCTTCACCGCCGTCAACCTCCTCGCTTTCGACAAATGGACGAGCCAGGTTAAGCCTACCGTGCCTTTCGACATTGCCAAATGGATCTTCGCCATCACCATCATCGTCTCCTACGTCTTTCTCGCATACCGATGGATCCGGGCTCTGCGCGTCATGCGGACAGGAAGTGTAACCGAATGCTACCTCGAGCCATTGGCTGCTATACTGCAGAGTATGCGCATCACAAAGACTGGCCAGGGCTGGCGCCGCTTCTTGGTCTTCGCAGAGTTGACCAAGAGTAAGAAGGGTGCCAACTACATCGCTCTCTTCGTATACTTCCAGTTCAAGAGCGCTCTTCTCATCATTGTCGCCCAGGGACCTCGCATTGCCCTCAATGCCATGACTTTATACGCCGTCATGCAAGCACAGCTCATACCCGTCGGCGAGCACGCGTCAGAAGATCGCTCCAACTTCGAGCAGTTCTTCATGAACATCAAGCTCATGGTCGAGACCGGCAACAAGCAGGAAACAGTCATCTACTTCACCATGTTGTTCTCTCTCGTCATCTGGGTCATCGCTGCGCTGGGTCTCATCATCGCCGGTATCTTGTACCTCTTCTTCCTCTGGCACTACATCCCCAAGGCCGATGGCAGTCTTACCAACTACTGCCGACGCAAGGTCGAGACCCGTCTGGAGCGTATTGTGGGCAAGAAGATTAAGAAGGCCATCGAGAAGCAGAACCAGCAGCTGAAGAGGGAGGAGGAGAGGGCCATCAAGAAGGGCGAATTTGACGCTTCCAAGTCCCGTCCTACGCTACCCAAGCTCGAAGGCGACGATGACGATACATCGACTGTCTTCTCGCTGCAACGATCCGATACGATGCAGACCACCGCGACACTACCCCCGTATACCCTCGCAAACACACCTTCATACAGAACAAACCCGGAGCGATCGAACACCTCGAACACCTTCAACACCATGAACTCAGGCCGAAACTTGATGAACAAGCCGTCTTTGCCCACGCTAGACGAGCGACCTGGCATGCCAGAGAGGGACGCACAATTCACAAACTTCTCGACTGCCAGCTTCGCTTCAAACGCGCCAATGCTGAACCAGGCAGGAGGTATGGGCAGGTCGTCGCCTGCACCACAAATGCCACCTCTAGACCGTAACGGCACTGGGTACTTTGGCCAGCAAGACAACCTGCCTTACCAGTCCGACCGACCTTTCACACCAATGTCACAGGGCAGAGCGTCCCCACTCCCACCACGTGGGCCCATGCCCCCTGTGGATACAAGCTACAACAACGGGCGATACGAGAACGATCCTCAACTCATCACTCCCCTCGATGCGCGGAATACACCACAACAAGCTCACCCCAACCGACCGTACCAAGAGTTCAGCCCCTACGACAGCCGGGGTCCTCAGATGGGCCCTGAGTATGAGCTGTCACCTGTCGATGTCAACCCCACAGAAGATATCTCGCAGCACTACTTCTCGGACTCAAATGGACAGCCCGACTACCAGCCACCTCAAATGCCCAGCTTGTTAAGAGCTGGCTCACCCGCCCCATCACAACCCATGGGTCTACCATCGCAACCACGTTCAGGTACCGCGCCTCCACGATCTGGCACTGCACCACCCCGAGCTGGTGTCCCAGCATCACTGCAATCAGCAATCCAGCGTCGCGAAGCCTCGCAACCTTTCCCCAACCGCGGCATGAACGGCTCAGCGCCACCTCAACAACAACAACGAAGTGCAACAGCACCGATTCAACAACCAGGTTGGGCTCAGGGACCTCCTGCCCGTAGCTACACACCTCAGGGTCCCGGCCCCCAACGTAGCTACACACCCGTCTCTGGACCCCAACAACAACAGCAACAACGCAGTTACACCCCCACTGCGCCTCGTGGCTACGACAACAGCTACAACTACTGATCTCCCTCATTTCATTTTATCTCATACAACGTTTGGAATCTCCACATTCATGCATCTCACGGCGTTCACTTCTACTCTCCATCTGTCATCTTTGTGCCTGAGGCCGCCCAAACCCTATTCTTTCCTTACAACTCTTACATTCATACGCACGACGTTCTCTCCTCCACTTCAACGTGTGTGAGTGAGGGAAATGTTTAACGACCTTTGTTCTGTTTTCTACTTTCGCTCTTTAGCTTGGTTTCGAGATACCCCCACCCGCATGGCTGGCCTCGGACGTCCTTTCGCTCTTTGATTTTACGCGTTTACCCGGAGGATTTGGTTGGAATGACTTGGTGGAATGATTTCTCTGGTTATGTGGAGGGGCTTGTCTCTTGTGATGGATGAGGGGATGAGGAGATGGGATCTAGGCTTTGGCTTAGACATGTACAGGTAGCGTGGTTGGGTTACATCACCCTCAAAAGTGAGGACTGTCTGCGCTGGGAGAGGCGCGCATACGTGTATTATATACCCACTTCTTTTGCAATTCGTGGAAAGCAATGGAAACTTGTGCATACTCGTATCGAGATTTTCGCTTCACTCCAACCATATATCCTCCCGATGCCTGGCATCCGTCATCTCATTGAAAGCCCGCTCATCCATATCGCGAAACTGCAGCGCTCCCATCCGCCGATACACGCTTCCAATATTTCCTTCCATCTTCATGACTCGCTCTGGCGGCTGCAACACGAGTTTCTCAAATGCATCCAGCCGCCATTGTTGTTCTCGGGACGGTTCTGCGCCTGCTAGTGCGCTTTTGTAGTCCCGATACAGCCGTTCTTGGTCGGCGAACCAGGTACGGCGTGGGATGAGGAGGAGGCCTACACCGGAGTACGTCTGGCGCGCTTGGAGGGAAGAAGATTGGGGGGAGTGGGGAGTGTCGGTCGTGTTTGGAGGGGCGGATGCGGCGAGGATGATGAATGCGCAGTGATCTCGATCGATGCGTGTAGTCGCTAATGGGGTGTCGAGGAAGACATCTAGTTCAATGATGTCGCAAGAGGTTTCGCTCGAGAACTGGAGACGGTATTGATCTTCTTGCACTTCAACCAGTCGCCCGATGTTGATGTGTGTCTTCAAAGCCAATGTTTTGCTTTCTAGTACAGGCTCCTTGTCGCCTTGCCTAGTCTCTTCCTTGACCGCAAAATTGATGATAGCGCCAGCATGATCCGTGACTTTGTACGCTCGTATAGCCAGTCGGTGTTGAGGCACAACAGCACCTTGGAGACTTGCCCATGACCAGCTGGGGATATTGACATCGAGCTCCGGTATCCTCTTACATGACTTAGTATCCCGCACTCTCCAAGCTAGTTGCTCCTCGAGCGCGTCAGACCACATACCCACAGCGTATTGCTCGTTCATGAAATCGCGTAACAGCTTCGCGATACTCCAGATTGCTATTGTCTTGTCACATTGATTAGTCAGATCGCATTCCGTGTAGTTTTGTACCGCTGACATCCAGAAAGTGTAGGAGCTTTCATTGTCGTTGACGCCGATGAGTGCGTTGGATGAGACGGTGCTTTTGGCTAGCCGTCCTCTCCAGTGTCGATCCGTGCTCGCTTTGTGGTCGAGAGGGAAGGGAAGGCCTTTTGGGAATACCTCACAGGCTGAGAGTGTACCACAGTCCCAAAAGATCTGTTGCTTTGTGAAGTGGAGGATGCGGGGAGAGAGGATGCGTTCTGTTGATTACCCGGAGTTAGCTTCTGGTGAGTTGTAATCGCCTGGTGGTGGGGTAGGTAGGAAGGGGCAGTCGGTTGTGCTTACCTTGGAAGACCCAGGCACGACTATATATGGCGGAGCTTAGAAGTTCTTGCTCCCAGAGATCCGCTGGAACAATCGTCCAACTCTTCTTCCCCAAATGATGACGCGCGTTAGTCCCCTGGTATGTGACCGGAAGGATTTCGTGAGGATTTCGCGTCTTGAAAAGGCCGCCGTGTGCATCCTTTGAGTCCGCTGCAACTATATTGCAATGCGAGTACCGATACACCTTGTGCATGAGGTCGGCTTCTTTTGCAAAGTCGCCGAAAGGAGCCTGAACGATCGCAAGACTATCGATCCAGATATACCGCACCTTCAAGAAGCGGGTCACATGTATTGCGTGTTGGAAGTTACGTGGAAGCTCGTTCATTGTAATGCCTGTGAGTAGATGCTTCGCCATGTTCCACACGGTGGTAGTGAGGAACGGCTTCTCTCGTGGTCCCCAAGCGTGACTCAACGTGCAATAAGGGCCCTTGACTTTCGTTGTTTTCGTATCTACTAAGCGGATGATATTGTCATCTCCAGTGTCGACATCCAGAAGTCGTGTCGGTAGGAAGGAAAGCTTGGATCGCTGGTCGTGCAAGGATTTGCTGCAGTCTTGGTGATCGTGCATACAAGTGTTCATCCATCTTTTTATTTGAACCCCGCCACTGAGTTCTGGATCTGTCGTTTCTTGTAAATCCTCCATTCTAGACACATGGAGATCGGCTTCTGGTAGGATTCGGAAAGACTTCGTTGGAAGTTTCGAATGAGAAGACCAAAACCGTAACATCATCGATTCTCTTAGCTCTCTGCCGCGCGGTAGCGCTCGAAGGGTCCAGTGATACAATGGCCAGTTTTCGGCATTCAATATGAAGTCTTCCATGTTGGCGTAGAGCGAGCTGCAAATTGTGCATTGATACGTAGCACTTTTTGTACCATCAATTGAGAGACGATGTTGTCCGGATGAAGCATCGCAATCTAATACATTGCTGACGCAAAAGTCGCACAGTCTCACTGGCGACTGTGCTAGATCTGGCTTTGGTTGCGTGGCTTTTCCTTCAGGCTTATGGCGCGGAGATATGCCCTGAAACGCTTGCGGTACATATTCAGCGCTGTTGATCCTAGGCGGCGATTGGACTAGCCCTTCGCCCTTGTCGAGGAATGATGCCTGGCCAAAGGTGCCTTCCAGCTCACGGATACGAAGGCCATCTTCGAGGCTCATGAGCGGTGTCGGGGGAGGCCTGTCGCTTGCCAATGTGTCGAATGTGCTTCCTAAGAGATCAGGTGTCTTGTCCGATGAGGATGTCTCTTGGAACTGATGTAATGGAGTAGCACCAGACCTTTCTCCTGCCGTAGATTTGACATGGTGCCTCGCCCGTTCTAGCGAATCATTGTACTTCTCTTTCACGTATAGAGAGAAGGCGGGTTTGCAGCATATATCCACCTTTCGATCTCCAGTGCGTAGATCCGTAAGCCACCCATTGGCTGCGGTAAAGACGTCTTCAACAGACCTGGGATAATCTAAACTCGAACAAGTGATCTGGGCAAGGCGTATACACTGTTCAAGTTCTTCCAGAGAAATCCCATGCGCATGATCTGCAGCGGCACCAATTGCATAGAGCGGAGGCAGGCGCTCGGGTTCCATTTTGCGTTCGATGAAGCTCATCTCGGTGTCAAAATAAGCAATGACGTCCCTGGGCAGCCTGTCGTCAACTCGATCTTTGCTGAAGGTAGCGATCTGGTCGCGGATAAAGATATCCTCCAGATATAACAACGCAAGTGTTATGTTGCCACCAGCTTTTGACTCAATATAATCAACAATGCGAATCGTGTTCTCGGAGTGAATATCGCGATAGTGCACGCTAAGTCTTTCTTCGAGCAAGCGCTCCATGTTGAAGTGACCCAACTTGATGCTGACATGCTGATAGGGTTCCTTGAGACCATTTACCGGGCATATGTGAGGTTCTTTCAGACTCTTCTTCTTTTCACAGTCATAACACAGATCGAACTCATTGCAATGCGAACATTTCCACCAGAGCTCAAGGTATTCCTGCTCGCATTCGTCGCAATATGTATTGATGGACATAGAGAACGCTGGAACCCTTCGTGTGATCATCACCTTGAAGCCGCTGGGTTCCAGAGCGGATAAGTGTGTATCGACAATCGACTGTAATGCTTCGTTGATGCGATCGTATCCGTCGAGAATGAGGAACTTGCAAGCACCGGAGGCGAAGCTCTTTAAAGCTCCGACGAGTTTCCCAATGCGCTCGGTTACAGGATCACCGGAGCGACACGCGCGCTGATATGCTCCGTACTCCGCGTTGGGTTCATTGCCGAATTCTGAGTATATGAACTGAAAAAGATCCTCGATGAACGCCAATGATGTCGACCACACATATTGAGTGATGGATACAGATGCGACAGCAGTTTTGGTCCCGTTTATGCCAGATGGCAGACGATTGGCAGCAAAAGCAGCTACAGTCGTCTGTCACGGTAAGCAAAGTCCTCTGTCAGATCTCTGAGAGCTTACTTTGCCACACCCAGGCTCTCCATAGCAGTGAAGTTGCCATGACCTACTACCTGAAGACCATGCACCGAAGGCTGGGGACGCGAAAAACTCGTCGAATAAGGTGGGATCATATCCGCTGCCATGTAGCGTGTTTCGGCTCAAGGCTGAGTGTGGTACGTGAGTTTGTGGCGCAAAAGGATCTGGAATGTCTCCAGCTGCGGCGTCCGACATCGTCGTAGGCGCCACGTAATTGCAGGTGCATTCGCAAGGAAATTGCCATCCATTGGTACTGTTGTTTGAAGGCTGCAGCTGTTGCTTTTGGGAGTTAGGACGAACGACGGGTTCCAGTGGGTCGGCCCCCACTTCATCTATGTCCGTGCATTTGGCTTATGTCATGCAACCGGTCAATTAGCCTGGCGCGTAATCCACAAATACACAGCGTCCTCCACCTCCACACAACCTGTATGTCAGCCGGCACGTCGCACAATGTAACGCTGCATTGGTCGACTGTATATAGCACTTTCTTGTTCGAGGTAAACATCCGCCTAGTTCGCGAACTCGCTGCCTCTCCTCTACTGCCAACTTTTACCTTCTTCAACCTTCTCCTGCCCTAGACAGTTCCGCTCACAACTGGACGAACCTTCGCCACACTAAGCGTGCGCCTCTGCTGCGCTCACGATTATTTTTATAGGTGCGAATCAGGGCTTTGTTTGCTCATTGAACTTCAGCACGGACGAGGGGCTTCTATCACCCAGCTTTCATCTACCGTTTGGACCTTCAGCTCGCGACTGGGCTATGCAAACTCGTAGCCAGCTTCCCGTCGACCTTGGATATATCGAATCAGGGATACGTGTATCTCTTCAGCCTACCGACTCCTTTAACCGCGTGGGATAGGCCAAAAGGCCATGTAGGGGCCAAGTGCGGCTGAAATGCAAGATGACTGCTTTGTACTCCGCGCATGAACCCACAGATCGACTGACAAGCATCTAGCGCAATTCCGGGAAAGGCTTAAATTATCTCATGATCTAATTACCCCCTGCAGCTTTCCTATCACTGCGCCTGCGAAGATTGGTGGCTTCGTGCATTGGTAGGAGCAAGCGTTCATTCATTCGATAGCAAACGTTGGCGGCCTACCGTTCCTGTAATATTTCAATTTCATGGAGTTCCTGTTGAGGCTGCGCAAGCCATCGCCACCGATTCAGATCCCTACTAGTGAGCTTCACAGAGCTACACAAGATGTGGTCACCGAAGTTCAAAAGTTGAGAAGATCCACTCTGTCTACCGAAAAGATAACTCGCTTTGATTGCTGAGACTTGGTCGCGCGTCATGTCTCTCGTTAAGCGCCTGGCGATATCGTGCCTGTTGGCATACGGATGGGCAAACCCTCTGAAAGGCTCTTTCGCCCCTCGACAAGTTGAGCCTCCTACAGTTTCTTCGGAAGCTTTCTCTACTGCGTGTGGAGATATTATTGTCGCTGTAAACAACAGTCAGTACCATGTCATATGATTGGGGAGAACGCCTTGACTAATCAATGGCCAAGATTATACACTATTCCAGGCATCATGGGTGTACGAGTGCTTGCAGAGCATTCCTTTCAATCCAGCCGTCGCAATGCGCTTCCTCGACTACTACAATATGACCTTGCAGTTCCAGTCCACACTGGGATATCTCAAAGCGCCACCCGCAGGCTACCAACGAGCACCATTCGACGTCGACCAAGCCTTGGAGCAGATCAAGCAGAACGTGACTGCGGCTGCCTACAACAACCAATACGAGTTTGAGGCACAGATTCAGCTCCTGGTCAATCAGCTTCATGACACACACGTTATCCTCAATGCCGGGGCTCTGTCGGCATTCTCCTTCGTCGGCTCATATGGGCTTGTAAGTGCGTCAATTGACGGCAAACAAGCGCCAGACATCTACCTTGATCAGGACCTATACGAAGCTTGGGCGATTGATGAATACGAAGCGTCACCTGTGACCCATATCAACGGGGTCGACGTGATCGAATACCTGGAAAGTTTTGCCAACCAAAATTCGCAAGGCTTCTTGGAACCACATGCCGATTGGAATGCGATAATGAATAGTCCTGCGCTCAATATCCAGGGTATTCCGAGTACATTCCAGTCGGCAAGGCTTTACCCCGGGAATGGAGTCTTCTCTGATGCGCTAAACTTTACACTCCAGAATACCACTGTCGTCGAAACCGTCTGGTGGGCAATCTGCATCGGTTGTGAGGATACAGGACCCCTTACCACTGGCGGCGACTTCTACAACTATTTTGTTCTTGGCTTCTTGCCAGACAGTTATAGTGAAGGCGAGCAGTGGTGGCCAGCCATCGAAGACGAGGTTCCCCCTCCAGCCGACCAAAGCGATGGTGATTTCAACTTCACAGCGGCATTGGAAACTTATTGCAATGAAGGAGCCTCGTCGAGCCAAAACTGGTGCATGAACAGCTTTGGCGCATACCCGAATAACCCTATGACCATCCAAGCCGATCTTTCCGTCACAGGAGGAGGTATCGTGTCCAGCTATATGTTAGATGGGACATCTACCGCCATTCTTAGCATACCCTCATTCTATCAGAACGGTATCGATACCTCCAATTTTCGGCAGGCGATTCGCGACTTCATCGGCAACGGATCACAAAGTCAGGCTTCCCGTGTCATTATCGATCTGCAACAAAACTCTGGAGGTCTTGTGTTCCTCGCGTACGATACATTCAAGCAATTCTTTCCGAATCTTGAGCCCAACGGAGCAAGCCGCCAACGCAGTCATGAATTGAGCGATCATCTTGGTGAGGCTTATTCAGAGTGGTGGGACCACTCAGGCCAAGACCAGGCTGAAAACTACAATTGGGCGTCAAGCGAGTGGATCGTCACTAATCGCATCAACGCCGCTACTGGGAAAACTTTCACGTCTTGGGACGAGTTTTACGGTCCAGAGATTAGCAACGGTGACACATTCTCGGGGAGTCAACGATACAATTTGTCCGATGAGAGTTTCGACTATTCCGCATTTGGCGACTACCCATATGGCTACGATCCCAGCGACCCCATAACCAACACTTCACCACCTTGGGCTCCTGAACAAATAGTCATTCTTACTGATGGCTTGTGCGCCTCTGCATGCGCTGTCTTTGTCGAGTTCATGACCTATGAAGCTGGAGTCAAAACCATCGTCGTTGGTGGTCAGCCCAAGCCCGGCCCCATGCAAGCAGTCGGCGGCACTCGTGGCGCCGCCGCATACTCTGCTGACGCCCTCGACTACGATTTTGACGAAGGACTGCAGTATTTGCCTGTGGACAAACCCGAAGTAGCTTTACAACTGCCCAACCGAACGGACACAGGAATGTGGATCAATTACGCCGGTTTCACAATCAGGAACCAAGTGCGCGGCACGGAGCTCACACCCCTCCAGTTCCAATACCAGGCTGCCGATTGTCGTATCTACTACACGCTTGAGACGATCTATAATATGACGCAACTTTGGAGCCACACTGCCCGTGCAGCATGGGACGACTCGACGCTTTGTGTCCAAGATTCCACAGGGTATCCAACGGCCCGCAATAAGACTTCGGCCAAACTGCCCCCATCAGCCACACCCGCCGCCTCACTGGCAGTCTATGACTTCTCGCCGCCGCCATCCGCTGACAACGCAACGTTTGAGATTTTCGACGGCGACCCTGCCCATACAAGATCAGCAGGTAGAATCATATCGCCCTGTCCTACGGATAACGCTTGTCGCTGTCGCTCCATGGAGTTGTCGTGCCCCGGCCAAATTTACCCTGTCAAAGTCGGGGCTTGTCTGCCAGCTTGCACCCCCACATCTGGCGATCCACAAGGCGATTGCCGGGGGCATAATGTCTGGTGCGCCCCATCAGGGCCACCCAAGGACACAAAGGCTCACGGACAAGGAGGCACTAACTATGTAGTACAAGGCGGTTACTGTAAGTCATGGGATACAAAGTACTGCCCGCTTTAGGCCATATAGGTCAATTGAAGGTGCGTAGAAAATGATAAAAAGAGTTCTCGCGTGATGAGGCTGCATGCGATTTTGGGGTAATACAACGACAAGCACATGGCATGTCTTGCTATCTTAATCACTTGTTGTATCAATTTATCTGGCTTATGTAAATACCAAGTTCTTGAATGAAAACAGTGCGAATAACTTTGCCACGACCGCTACGCCTGTACAGCAGGAATTTGGTGCAGGATCTATATCATTCCGATTTAGAGAGTTTTTCAGATGATGACCACAATCAATCGCCTTACTGTCCGGTTTAGGACTAATGTAAGGAATCGCCCTCTGATCCATCTCAAAACTACCGTGCGCTCTAATCCGGCGATACACGCTTCCAATCTTTGCTTTCATCTTCACCACCCTCTCTGGCTGCTGCAAATGAGTTTCTTAGGCGGTGTTGGTGAGTGGACAACAGAATGAGGAGGGTGTTAGCGCCAGCTATAGCAAGAAAGAAGTAGTACATAAGGGCATTGACGACGACATGGTCATAAAACATCCTCGCTTCGCCAAGCAGAACGTGGTGAAGTATATCAGGCTCCATCATGTGCATCCTAGTACTTGAACCCAAGGAAATGTAAAGCTTAAGAGGTCAAGATTCTAGTACACACTAACGTCGCCAGCTGCTTCGATTTGAACGAGACACGCCTTACAAATGAGGTACCTTGAGACTTGCCAGTAACAAGTTCACAATACTGAACAGACCTTCCCCGAGAATCAACCCACTCGCAAGCACAATGATAGGCGTCTCACTCCGGCCCTTCCAGCGTCGCCACCACAGACTGAGCAGGCCGCCAATCGTGCGCGCCAACGTGAAAGAAGGCGTGTTGTACATGCCTAAACGAAGAGTTAGTTCACACAACGTGTCCAGTAAAAGAGCGAGGAACATACCAACAGCAACAGCAATACCACCAGGCACAAAGTCAATCCACCACCCACTTAGACCCCTCTGCTTTCTGCTGTTACCCCAAACCCTTACCATCGTACCCACGGCGAAGATGATAGCCGCCCCACTAGCCCATTCCTTGACCATGGGTGGTAGACCCTTCCCAGTCACTAACCGCGCAGTAAAGACCCACACGTATCCCGTCGGCACCTCGAACAGGCCACCAGGGATCGTGTAAACATTCGTGTAGAGCTTATACACAACAGCAGATAACACCGCGCCAACCGCAGACCCAATCATCTGACCCCAGAACTGCGCATTCGGCGCCGCGCCAAGGAGATGACCGCATTTAAGGTCCTGCAACAGATCGCCAGCTTGTAGTGCCGCGGACTCGGAGATGGCGCCTGCGACAAGGTTGATGATGACTGCGTTTTTGGCGCCGGGGCCGGTGGTAGGGGTGACGAGTGCGAAGACGAGTTGGGTGAGCTTTGAGATGCCGGAGACGGGGTTGAGATCTGTTTCGCCGAGGGCGCGGACGCCCATGATGGATAGGACGAGCGCGAGGACGAGTGATAGTAGGGTAAGGCGGAGGGGGATTAGGTTGGGGAATGAGACGTGGACTGCGATGACGCAAAGGACTAGGGATGCGATGAGGCCGATGATGGTGGTGCGGTTTGAGACAAGGTGCTCGGGCGGCGCGTCAGGCTCGTTGCCTTCAGCCAGGTGCTGCTTGATTGCTTCCAAGGGATTGACGGATGTGCCGTCGCTGAGCTGGGTATATTGTGGCTTGGACGTGATGTTGAGCGTGAAGATTTCCTTCCAGGTATGCGACTGGAAGTTCTCTTTCGCGGTTGGGTAGTAAGCTCTGGCAATCGTGACGACTGGGCGCAGAAGGAGCCATCCTAAGCTGACGAGAGAGTCTGCTAACATGATGGCGAGAGAAATCCAGACGATCCAGCCTTTTGAGCCGTTGGTCCAGTCCGACACTGGCCCTGGTGCCCACTCTTTGTGCTTTGCGAGAGGCGAGAGGATGCCCCAGCCTATGATCGCACCGAAAAGCATGTGTAGTGTCGTAGCAGGGCCCATGATAATACCTTGGCCAACGTACGCAGGTGAGGGGTTTAAGGTCCAGAGCCAGTTCTGCGCCAAAGAAAGGCCGAAGACGGGTATGTCGTGGAGCTGCGGGAGAAAATACGATACGACAGTATATAGCGCAGATCCGCCGAAAGAGATGAGCAGTAATCTGATCTTCGATCTCCAGTCCCCGTCTTCTCCGAGCTCTTGATCTGGATCCTTCATGCTGTCGTCCATGGATGGCCTGAGGTCATGCTCTTCTCGCTGTGCGCCTGAACCTTGCAACAGGCCCTGTGTCTCTCCATCGCCGGACCGATCGTCCCCGTCCTGAACTCCTTCACGGGCCATCATCGTCTTCGATTTCTCATCCCCGTGTAGCACTCTGATTAAAAGAGCAGTCGCAGTACCACTAGGGAACTTGAGCTTCTCTCTGATGATCATCTCTTTCCGCAGAGGCACTGCAAACACCACTCCAAAGAAGCAAATACCAACAGACCACACGATCAGTTTCCACAGACTGATATCCAGCGGTCCGTTCTCTTCAGGCGTCAACAGATAGTTCAGCGCAGGAATCACGCCAACAAATCCGCATCCGAGAGGCATGGTGCCGACCGATCCAGCGACCGATTGAACCAAAACATTCTCCACGGGCGTGAACGGCAACTTGAGCGTCCTGGCAACGACCTTGAAGTATGCGAATCCGATCAGAGCAGACGGCATAGCCATGCCAGAAACCCAACCCGTCTGCAGCCCAAAGTACATGTTGGAAAAACATATCACAACACCAATCGCCAAGCCCACCAAAACACCCCTCAGCGTGAAATTCTGCGGCTGATCTGCTTGCTCAGCCAGGTACCTGCGCGCACCCGTGGTACTGCGGCCGAGCGCATGACCATCCACCTCTTCACCATGCCCTGCTCTTTCGTTTTCCAGCGATGCGGATGAGCCCCGGTCTGGAGCCATCCTCGCGATATCCTGGAGCTGAATCGACTCAGCCAGCGTGAAGAGGAGGAAGGCGCATGCGAGAAGGAAAGGAAAGAGGTCAGAAGGACGCTGATGGGAAAGATAACGGAGTCTTGACAGGGTATGGCGTGCTTGGGCATGTGCACGCGATGATGCAAGGCGATCTGCTAGCGTGCGCGGATCCACACGTGACAGCCGGCTGTTATTGGCGGAGTGAAGTGCTTATCTCCGATTTGTCAGATTGCGCCAGCCTCGACAACGGGCATCGCGAACTGCTAGACAGGGGCGCGTCGCGGGTCCGCAATACGACGTCAAGAACGCTCTGAACAGCCCGCCGATCTACAATCGAAACAGTCTTCGCGATGAAGTTCTCCGCCGCCCTCCTGCCTCTACTGGCAGCGCCCTTCGTCGCCAGCGAACACACATCCAACTGGGCGGTCCTCGTCTCAACATCACGCTTCTGGTTCAACTACCGCCACCTCGCCAATGTCCTCTCGCTCTACCGCACCGTCAAGCGTCTCGGGATCCCCGATTCGCAAATCATCCTCATGCTGCCCGACGACATGGCGTGCAACCCGCGCAACGCTTTCCCCGGAACCGTCTACAACAACGCAGACCGAGCCCTAGATCTATACGGCGACAACATTGAGGTAGACTACCGGGGCTACGAAGTCACAGTCGAGAACTTCATTAGGTTGATGACAGACAGAGTGGGCGAGGACATGCCGCGAAGCAAGAGGTTGATGACGGACGAGCGGAGTAACATCCTCGTGTACATGACCGGGCATGGCGGAAACGAATTCCTCAAATTCCAAGACGCGGAGGAAATCAGCGCTTTTGATCTCGCAGATGCGTTCGGACAGATGTGGGAGAAGAAACGGTACGTCCCATCCCCTCCACCATCACCGTCACCACCGCAGCGCTCTCCCTGCTACAAAACACCCCACTAACAGCCCCCTCCAGCTACCACGAAATCCTCTTCATGATAGACACCTGCCAAGCCAACACCATGTACTCCAAATTCTACACCCCCAACATCCTCGCCACCGGCTCTTCCGAAATCGACCAATCCTCCTACTCCCACCACGCCGACAACGACGTCGGCGTCGCCGTCATCGACCGCTACACATACTACAACTTGGAGTTTCTGGAAAACCAGGTCAAAGACCCCACGTCCAAACTTACCATGGGCGATTTGTTTGATTCTTATGACGAGGAGAAGATACATAGTCATCCGGGTATACGGTATGATCTTTTCGAGGGAGGCGAGAGGGCGGCGAGGGAGAGGAGGGTTATGGATTTCTTTGGGAATGTGCAGAATGTGGAGGTTGAGGGGAGGAATGAGACGGGGTGGGTTGGGGAGAAGGGGAGGGAGGTTAAGCTGGTGAAGAGTCAGGATCAGAGTGTGGGGAATGTGAGTGTGGAAGAGGTACCGCATAGAGCGCGTACAGAGGGTGCTTGGAAGGTGGATGAAGAGCAAGGGTGGACGAAGCAGGCGTATGGGGCTGCGGCTTTGGTGGGTTGTGCGAGTGTTTGGCTTGTGGGGAGTTGGATCGAGTCTATGTAGTGTCGCAGAGACTTATTGTCTTCCGTATTTTCTTTTTGACGTCAATGATACCCAACATTACAAAAGCTTTCTGGTCTGAACCACACTACTGGGCGCTAGGGTTTGTTCTGGATGGGATTGTTCGGTTCGGGCTCATGTTTATGTTGGCATGAACTTCAGTGAATAATTCCACAATACGTGGCAAAGACGAGCCTGGAAGATATGTCATTCCGATCATCTCACGATATCACATCACATCACAACCTGTAAGAAACCGTGATGAAGTGTTCGATTGCTACTTTTCCACTATGCGTAGAACCCGCGAAAAGGAAACCCCATGAGGTATCGTATGCCGTTCTCCGTGATCCATGCTATGCACCGAAACTCCTCTAAAGAACCTGAAACCAATCTCCATTCACTGCGATCTCATAGCATCATGTATCGCTCCGTGTCGCGTGAAATCCACATGTATTGCTCGACGATCAAGCCCCATTGAAAGGAATAAGCCCAAATCCCTGCAGTCTGCATTCGCAACAAAAACGAACGTTGGCGGGTCCTTGACGCAATGCAGACTTTTGGGTTGTTTGCATCCGTTACCCGCTGTAAGTCGGTGTCCCGTTCTCCCTAGCATAAGGTGGTCAACGGAGAGATGCGCTCAGCCCCATCTCCTAGTACATGGCAGACGCGTTCTCCGCACCACCATAAGCCGTCTCCTTGAAGCCAGCGGGAACAGTCCATCCATGTACCTGGCACGCACGTATATACGCGTCGACCGCCTCCATGACACCGTAGTCTCCAGGTGGGCCCTGTTGTAGACGAGCAGGTTTGGGATCTAGACTGGAGATGGCCATGCGTACTTGGAGAAGAATAGATTCGATGGAAGAAACAGCGCTCCAGCCATCGTTGGTGAGAAGCTCCATGCACATAGCACCACCACCGGTGACGTGACCTCCTCCACCCATGGTGAAGGGTAGGAAGCGAGGTCGGATGACGCGGACGAATGGTGGGCTCATGGGATAGTCCCTGCCAAAGCGTAGCTCTAGTACGACGCTCTTGACTTTCTTTGACTTCATGTCTTTTGCAAGTGGCAGAGTGGAGTCGAATGAGTGCAATTCTACGATCCACTGGTAGATGTTCTCGGTCTTCTCCTCATCAATGTGCCAACCTAGTTCATGCATCGGTTCCTTGTTCTGGATCTTGACGAGGTCGTTGAAATCCCTCATCAGACGCCTGGTAGCCGCGGTTGTCGCCCATGCAGGCTCCTGGAGTTTAGGAAGCTTATCGTAGTCAAGCTTTCCAGGCTCGTAGTCGGTCAGAGGTTCACTGGATGATGACTTGCCAAAGATCTTGGACGAAAACGACGCAATCGAGGCCGCCACCTTTGACTTACCCTTGTCGCTGATTGAGTTTGGCGTGGGAAGAGGGTCAGTCTCTTGGAAAGACTTGTGCTCATCTTCACCGTCAAAGATGATGCGATCTTCTTCAAGGGTTGCGACACTGGCGGCGTCGTCATCGTCGTCAATCTCGATGGGATCGTACTGTGTCTTCCCAGAAGCCTTCTGCCGCTTGTGACCCTGTGTGTCTGTCAGCAAGTGCGCAGTAGCATGTGGGGCACAACTCACTCCAGTAGACTTCGCCTTGGGACGCCGAGAAGCAGCAATAGCGTGGATCGGAATAACGAGGTCGCCTGTCACACCACGAGGCGTGCGGATCGGATCCTGATCAACGCAAAGAAGTGGCTTGCTACCCGGATCTATGGCTGTTACGTTATCCGCGCGTGTCTTGATAAAGAGGTAGCGGGTCTGGATCCAATCAAGCTGAGCGACGACCAGATGCGGAGTCTGGCTCACATATTCCTGCGGAGCGTTGACAATCTCGTTTAGAGCCAAGGTCTGTTGAACCTTCAGCTCGCTCATTGACCAAGCCGCGCCGTAGGACATCGAAGAATAGCCCAAGCTAGTATTGACATCAGGAGCGTGGTAAACGCCATTTCCGAAAGCGCGTCCGTGAGCGGTCTCCTTAAAATGAAGACCCTCTCGGATGATGGTGTGCCAGTTGTGGATAGGGCTGCCATGCCACGCGAACAAAGTTGGGAATTTGAGGCTGAGGCGGTTAGTAGTGTCACGTACTGCCTGGATGAACATTCGCTCTTTATCAGGAGCACCCATTGCGAACCGAAACTGCGCCCAGCCCGCCATGCCATATAGACGCTCCTCCGATTTGCGGCCGTTAGAAGCATCCTCTTCGTTATCGACCTGCAGGATGCAAGCTCGATTCGAAGCGATGACCCAACGCAGTATTCCAAGGACGGCAGGGGAAAGACGGTCAACCCAAGCGCTCAGAGAAGACTGTGATTTCCGCAAAAGGTACTTCCTCATTTCTTGGACAGGCGGTAGGAGATCGAGAAGTGATGCAATGACTCGCGGCTTCTCCACGTCGGCCAAGTCGTCGAAGTTGGTGTTGTAGATGTAGAAGCTTGCGGACTTGAACTCGTTCTCTGGGACTGGCCGTGGGGCTGACACCTTCGGTTTTGATGGAGTTGGCTGTGCCATGCCGTATGCATCCGTCGGTCCCTCGATGGACGGGATGACTGGATTTGAGACCTTGACTGATGGATACAGAGATGCATCTACCACGCGGCAATGCAGAGCTTTGGTCGGCTCATCATCTGTTCGCATAACGAGCCATTGGCCTTTTGATATAGGACAAGCTTCCCTCGCGTTCTCAAACAGCATTTCGAGATTGGCCGCGTTGTATCGCACACTCAATGCAGCTACTGGAGGTGTACTGTCGGCTTGCGGAGGCTGTTGTGCGGGGTCTTGTGTGGCATAATGATAGCGGGTACTGATAGGTATGTAATCCTTCTCATTCGTTATCGGAGGTGGAACTGCCAAACTGAGACCGGTTGGAAAGTCCCTCAGTCTACTGGCGCGCGCACTAGCGTAGCAGAAGCTGATTAGGAGGTCAACGACTTTAGGTTGTGAGACGATCTCATGCTCGATACTCGGACCGAAGCCTAGTGACATGTACTGGTACAAACACAGCGGATTGTCACAGACATAGGGCTTGATAGCTTGCAGGTCGTCGGGCATTCTACTGAAACAGATCAGACAGAATTCGGTACATCGAACAAAGTGCCGTAGCACGAACTGCATTCCCACAAGAGGAAGAGAGTGTTCTTGACCATTTGAAGATGTAATGTGATCATCGGTCACAATCTTCGGCCATGTATTGCCGGCACGCTCGTCGTCGTAGTACTTGTCGTGCGAGGCATCGTGATCCGAGTGTGACGCATGAAGCACTTGATCGTTGTAGAATGATTCAGCGCCGTGCCATGGCATACCCCCGTAGCGGTACTTTAGAAGCATGTGAAAGCGCTGTTCCAACAGCTCGTTCAAAGGCCTTGAGATGAACGAATTCCGGAACCCCTTAGGTAAATCTGAAGAGACGTTTTGAGAATCGCCTTGTTGTGACGCTTCCCGTCGCTTCTCGTCCTCTTTGCTCAAGATCGTGAAGGCAGATATAGCTTCTTGCATGGTTGGCTTGTATGTCGTACAGACACCGATGCGGATACCGAAGTTCCGTCGAGCTTGGTGGGCATCGTAGGACCTCAGATCGTCCATGTTCTTGTAGCCTGACGGGTAATGAAAGATCGCGACAAGATATTCCGATGGCTCGACCTGCCATGCTTGCATAGCCTCTTCTGAGATACCGAGTTTCGAAATGCGGATGGACAGGGAAACATAGCATCCAAGACCATCCATCAAACCTCCGAGATGTCCAACCTTGAACCCTTCGCTCTTGGCAATCAAGAGGTCATGTCGGACACGCTGTCGGAAAGCAGATGTAGCTTCTGTGTAACCTCCACCCGACATAGCACCACCGTCGGTGGCAAGTCGCGGCTTCGGCATCATGTCGTCGTCACCGGGAAAGTACTCCTCTTCTTCATCCTCTTCATCGTCGAAGTCTTCAAACTCCTGAGAGTCGAGCATCTGCTGGTCCCCATCCCGGTCGGTGGACTCCAGTCGGGTAGAGACGAGCTCTAGAATCTGGGAAACGGTCTTTGCGTAGGTAGCGTCAGCGATGGTGTCAAGGGCAGTAGCGACGCCAGCAGAAAGGTTATCGGCGCCGAAGATCATGCATGTATGGCCAGTAGGGTAATCGGATACTTCTGTACAGTCTGTTAGCTATGTTTCGTCGAGGTAATGCAGACAGGCTGGGAGTTCCAGGCGGTAGGGGTCTCGCCATCAGGGCGACTAGCATTCGAGGCGCCTGTGTCTGCATACACAATAGTAAATCCTGATAAGCAGACACGTCCTAAGCCAATGCGTGCTTCTACCTCAAGATAATTTGATAAAATGCGACACGAATTGTAGCCATCCCTAGTGTCGCGAGCTGTGCATATACCGGAAGTAGCTTACCTGGAACAAGCGCTGAGATCTCTAGCTGCTGGCCGTCTGCGAGACACATGAAGGTGAATTCGCCATCATCACCGCCAGGGCGCACATTGGAGATGCCCGCAATTGACAGCCCTTCTGCTGCCTTTTGCAGGTCGGCTTGGAATTGCCGCCGCGGCATTTTGGTGCGCGTGTTTGACAAGTGTTGCTGGTGTCGCGAAGTGTTTGCGTACTGTAGTGGAGGTTGCTGTTTGCAGGTGGAAAGCTGGCGCGGATTGCGATCGGTGGTTGAGCGAGTGGGCTGCGGCGTAGTGCAAGTCTGGTGGAGAGGCCTTAATCTTTTGAGCACTCCAGATCGTGGATTAGGCGGAAACTGCCTAGGTAAGGGTCCACGGGTGACGTCGAACCGCCGTATTCGGCGTGAGGTAGCAAACGCTGGACGGCTTAACCTTGGGAACTAGGTAATCGCGCCCACGAACAGCTAACGACGGACGACGAGGAAAAAGAGACGAAACAGAAGAGCGAGAGGAAGAACAGCGACTGGCGACCGTACCTTACAGGCTCTTGGCAGACTAGAATCCGTGAAACGCAGTCAGTCCATGGTGGTGGTGGTGGATGGGCCCTGTTGCCTGGGAAGAGTGGGTAGGGACGGAGTAGTGTGGCTCAGTCCAAGCTCCAGCCCGCATCTTGCAGGCGGGCAACCGCAGGGATGATAGCTATGCCATCCATTTCAGCAATCACCACTGATATCATAGATTCCATCTCAAACAAAGAGAAGGTGAATAGCAAACACAACGACGTACGCGGCGCACCCAGGACGTGGAAGATGCCGGCCCCTCCCCCACAATTACCTAGTTTCCCTCTCCCGCATCTAAAGGTCCCGAGCGTTCGGCTTAACTGATTCAGGAACGGCCGCCGCCGCTCCAGTCTTCCTCAGCCCTGCTCTCGCCCTCCAAATGGCTGTGTCGGAACAAAAGACGACGCCCAAGTCTGCCCACGTCTCCGACCCTGCGCTTGCCCCGTTTCTGGGGTCGCGCTTCGATGCCGCCGAATACCTCAACGCCACGCTCCCCTCGCTCTCGCTAGCTGCCAGGCCGAAATCGAACAATGCCGCCTCGCTAGCCGACCTCTCCTCCCAGGCCCAAGACCTCCTCTCACAGCTCAATGCGCATACGACGCGGTTATCGGCGATACTGACACAGTTGACCGATGACATACTACGAAGCGGCGGGCGCTTGGCGTACGAGGTCGAGGTGCTGCGGGGAGAGGCCATTGGGCTTACGGAGACCTTGACAGATGGGTTGAAGGGCGATGTTCAGAAGTTCCTACCAGGCGGAATAGCGATAAAGACGGAGTCGTCCGATGACGAAGCTAAGAGCGCAGATGCGCCAGATGAGCAACCGTCACAGCCAGCGCTGGAGGTGCCCGATGAGACCACCCCAGAGTACATCTCCGACCTCCGCACCCTCACCACAGTCCGCTCGCGCCTCGAGACCGTCATCAAAGTCTTTGGGGAAGCCATGCACTGGTCCATACCACCCTCGGAGGTCTCCCTAGGAGCCTCCCTTATCAGCGTCTCCGCCCCCGAACCCGGCACAGACAGCGCTTCGCGTGAACAAAAAGGCAAAGAATTCGCTGCCTCCCTGCGCACTGAGTTCGCCGACCTCATCACCGGCGACCCAGACGGCGGTATGGAAAAGGCAGAGGTGCGCATACAAGCTTTGAGAGACCTAGCGCAGGTCTGGAAGGGCACAGCAGAGGAGAAGGCGAGGACCAAGTTCGTGGAGGGTCTGGTCAAGTTGGCAGAAGATAAGCAAAGAGAGCTCGATAGGGAGAAGGAGAGGAACAAGGAGCGTGGTCAGCAGAAACACGCTCGCAGTGGCAGCGTGCCGAAGCCGCAGCAGCAGCCACAGCAGCAAAGAGGCGGCTTCCTGGAGAACCTGCAGAGGAGGTTTGTGGAATGAAGATCATGCACTCGTCCACTGCATATCGTTTCCTGGAAGTTGTCGTCACGTGACTACGCGTCATGTCGCGCCGATCAATACATCCTCTCCTATCGATTGTAAGCTGCCGTTGACTATATTTGGATATCTCTGATGCGAAGAAATACCCTTACTGCCATCAGCTTGTCAAGCCACCATTATGATCTCCGTTCAATCTTCTTTCCGCATCCTCTCAACCATTTTCTCAGCCATCTTCTCAGTTACCTTATCCACTATCCTCTCAATCATCCTTTCAATGATCCGTGTGATAATCCATTCACCCGTTCTCTCAATCACTCTTGCAAACAACCTCTCGATTACCCGTTCGACTATTCGATCGACAAAGCCTTCGCTGTCCGACCCACTGGGACGCATGATACCCATGGCGCTGGTCACAATCACTGAGAAGAAAGGGGACGTCTAAATGTAATTACGGTTGCTATCTATTACAATGTTGGGAGCTTGCGTTGTAGCTGCACTGCGCACTTTATAGCTCGCGAGACAGACTTGCTCTTTCTCATTACGTTTTAACATCTTCCCTCGATTCGAGTGCGCACTACGCTTCTTTCTCCATTCTACCTAGGTATGAGAGGAAGAGGTCTCTTGCTGCGTGGGACTGGTAGCTCACTGTGTAGCGAAGATCCGCCTGCGAAGAATATCTGGGTATGAATAAGGTAAGACACTGAAGCCGTGCAGGAGTGCGTCGACGACGAAGATGACAGCAAGGTGATGAGAGAAGTAAGATAAAGATGAGCGAAGGCGCGTGACCATTGAGTGGCGACTGGGTATCTGAACGTCGTCCGGGAAGACTTGAAGGGGTTGGATCGCGTGTGGAGGTGCACGGATGAAAGCTTTGGCTGAAGTATGTGAACAAACTTTCCTCTAGCAAGACGTTCTTGCTAATGTAGTAGGGGTGTTCCCAGGAAGTAAGTAGGAGGCAACCAGGACTTAGTAGTCGCGAGGGGTGATCTGAGTAAGAAGAGAAGCAGTAATGATGGAAAGACGAGAGAAGCAGGCACAGCGCACAGTGGACCCGAGACCTCTTTCTCTCATACACTGGTCTTACCACCCCAGTCCTTGGTCGTGCCCTCGAAAACGACCTCAACACCAATCGCCCTGTCACTCGTATGAGCCGGAACTGAGGTTGAGCTGGCGAGCAAGAGCTCTTCCGATACACGTATACGGCCGACATCGACCTGTTGCGCTTCAAAGAGGCTTGCAAGGTTGTCATTGCCAGCGAGACCACTTTGCGCGGAGCGTGGCGTGTCGTCGCACCCGTCAGACTCGTCGCGGCACCAGACACTCCAGCGAACAACATCAAAGCTATCGCAATCATACCGTATACCAAAGCACAATATCTCAAAGACCAAGCCCAACCTAGGACCAGACCGCAGTCTGAGTCAAAGGCGCACTCTATTCTTTCTGTCATTGCCAGCGAGACCACTTTGCGCGGAGCGTGGCGTGTCGCCGCACCCACCAGACTCGTCACGCTACTCGTCGCAACAACCGCAGCAGCAACTCGATCATCGATATCGTACTCCTGTAAGTTGGTACCATCAAACCCCTGTATGCAGCTGGCTGATATATGATGCAAAAGGTTCCTAGCATCTTTCCGCATTCTTTCGACTATCTTTTCGCCTATCCTTCCAGCCAGCTTTAACTTATCCTTCCGGTCCTCCTCTTCGCTATCCTCTTGAACAGCGCCACGCTCCATCTTTTTCCCGCTACCGCCACCACCACCACCTCCGTCATCTACTTCCACACCTGCACCTGATGAGGCCGAGGATACCCAAGATGGGATTTCGGGTGTTGGTCAAGCGGAACACAAGCCTATCTTCCCCGACCGCGCGACAACCAGCTTGACTACCACCGTCCTCTTGCACAACTACCACCACCCCAGGCACTCCGTCCCCCACTTCTCGTTCTAATATATCGAGATACAGAGATGCAGAGATAAAGTACGGAAAGTCGCGAAGACGCAAGACCGATGGGAGAGAAAGAGTACCTAGGTAACCAGTCTTTCAATACACCCACACCATCTCAATATACTCAATAGTAGCAAAGACCCATGACACCCTCTCTTGCCATCTCTACCAAGTCCGCGCTTTCCCAACTTCTCACAAGTGCCACCAAATCCCCCGATCACACAACGCATTTTGCCATGACCGGAGATCTGCCTTCCGTATCCCCTTCCCACGTCCAAAAAACAGCTTACGTATCAAAAAAGACGGTCAAACGTGGCGCAGCAACCGACCGCCGCCATATCATCGTATTCTGAAACCCGGGGGGGGGGTGGGGGGGGACTGGGGAAATGTGTGTTTAAAAGGCCCGTTGTCATCTGCAAACCATGTGAAGGACCAGTGTGCAACTTGGTAGTATCTCGTATTTGTAAACCTGCTGTTATACTACACGACTACGACTACACACCCCATTACCCGCCAATCGATCCCCACAACCGATTCTAACGGTAAAAGCCCGCTGCGTCATCTCCACCGACAGGCGGCGCGCTGGGTGCTTGTTGTCCCCCAGGTCGATATGGAAGGTAACCCTGAGCAGGCGGTGCCGGGCTAGAGGTGTTACCAGGCGGCGCAGGTGGTGCGTATCCAGGCTGTTGCGGCGGATATCCATAGCCCTGCTGAGGAGGCTGTTGTGAGTAAGGGTCAGATAGAGGCTGCTGTTCTTGTGGGGCTTGCTGTGGTGGAGGTGATGAAAGCTGCTCGTATGGGTTTTGCTGTCCCTGTGGTGGGCCTTGGGGAGCGGCTTGCTGTGGCGGGTAGCCGCCTGCCTCATAGCCTTGTGGTGGCTGGCTGGGAGCGTGGAAGGAATGGCGGTTGTCTACTGGCGAGTCGTATTGACTGGTCGCTAGCTCCTGGGGTGCGTAGCTCTGCGGTCGGCCTCCTACTGGTACTCTGTTTGGAGGTAGTGTGTAGGGGTCTGATGGCGGTCCTGGCTTCGGCGTTTGCTGTGTCCGTTCATTCGGGGGGACCATGAAGAAAGCAGGGCTTGAGCCTACGGGTGGTACTTGGGAGGGAGGTCCATGTTGCTGGGGTCCTCCACCATAAGCGTAGCGGCCCGGATCTTGGTGTGGGGTAGATGATACAGGTGGGTATCCTTGGTAGTTTGAGGGGGGCGGTGCATTGTAGCCGCCATATCCAGGACGGCCGCCGTATGCAGGTTGTTGGGGCTGTGACATGGATGCCTCCAGCATGGACTCGTAGTCTCGACGAGCCTTGATGAACTTCTCGTTCAGCTGTGTAAAGTCATCTGGGAGAGTTAGCGCTGGTCGTAACGCTTCTTACGATTGGCCTACCCTTCTTCTGCGAGTACTTCCCAATGAGCTCGATCAACTTCGGCCGAATAGCCAGTGTTGAGTGGTAGAGCTCGGTGATCTCTTCATTGTCTCGCGCGTCGCCTGCGCCTGGCTGGGAGCTCGTGCTCAGCAGCGCAAGCAGCTTCTCCACATTCCTTATTTGTGCAAAGACCTCAGCCTCGTTCTGTGCCTCCCTCTCGAGCTCCTCACGCGTCGGATCTTGCAGCTTCTCCACGTAGTTAAGCGGGAAGATACCTGTCTGCCCGCGCAGCGATCCCTTCCACCAGTCCTTGTATACCGATTCGAGTACGGCGATAATGTCACCCTTACGGAACTGCAGCTCACCGGGTTCGGATGGTTGGAAATCGAAGAGGGCTCGTACACGTGAAACGGTCGCCGCGGTTGTGCCTGATGGTAGGGGTTGCGAAGGCTGTTCGGGCTGAGCACTGGGAGTCGATCCGCCCTGCTGAGGCGTGTTGGACTTGGCAGCCGTCGGCGCTGCGCCCTTGGACTCTCGTATCGACATGGCAAGTGCCATTTGTAGCTCTTCTTCCTCTTTCTGGCGTTCGACGTCGGAGATCTGCGTCTTCTGTGGCTTGGAAGGCGCTCGGAGGTTGGGGTCTAAGACCTGTCAGGATTGTACATTTCACCGCTACATCACTAACTCACTTTGTGACTTCAGCTTCATATAGGCATTAGACATGATTCCTAGGTCAGGGTCGCGGGCGAACATGTCGCTCCACTCTTGCATGCGCTCGAGTATCTTGGCCTTGACCTGCTGATGTGTGTTGCGGTCGTTGGCAAGCCTCAGCAGCGCTTCTGTGAAGCTTCGTGAAGCAAGCTCCTTGTGCATCTGAATCCCACAGTTCTGGCTCAGGGCATTGGCCAGCTCGAGGGTGTATAGTTGTACGTTCGCATTTCGGTGTGCTAACCGCCTGATCATGGCGGCAACCGCATCTTTGGCGCCCGTGTCGGACGATCCAACCTTGTCGCATACATCCTGCGTGGTAAGTTAGCATCTGTTGTATATGCTGGAACGTAAAGGCGCATGGTCGTGGCTGGACGGATGTTGCGACATCTGCCCAACTCGCCGCCCAAGGCATCGCGAGTGCTGACCATACCAGAATGTATTCCCAGTTTTCGCTCGTAAGATTTTCGTCCGTGGCTTTTACGACGACATCGTCGAAGATGTTGGATTGCGCGCGAAACATGACGTCTGCCTGCTTCCAAGTGTCTTGGGACTCGGTATGGGGAAGCTCTCCGGGGGCGCGGGTGCCTGGAGTCGATACGCGAGTTGAGGTGAAGGTGGTAAGTTGAGAAGGGCGGAGGGCGAGCGAGTAGGTCGTAAATGCGCGCGAGATACTAAGGGCAGTTTCGGGGAAAGGCCGTGTTATGTGTTATGGGGAGAGTGAAAGTCGTTCGTGTCGCAGTCAGTCGTATGCAACCGGGCTTAGAGCTCCCCGCCCAATGACGACGATGTGGCGGCCCTTACTCAGCCACAATGCTCGGGTCGCAAATTCACCAAGCAAGACATGTCAACGCCCATCACAATATACGCCCCTGAATATCGATATCGATTGCAGGTACACAGGAAGAATATTCATATTCGACTTTTCTATATGCCGAGATTGCCACCTCCGGCCAAGTTTGTAACCCCGAATCGTATAGACAC